AAAACCATGCTTTCCTCTCTGTGATTTCGGGGTCCTGGATCACCATCAAAGTATACCAATTCAGAAACTTCCTGTAACCAAACGGGAGAACAGGTTTTTTTTGTTGTTTTTTTTTGGGGGGGGGGTCTGGTCATGGGGCCTGAACTCTGGGCCTGGGCGCTGTCCCTCAGCTCTTCAGCTCAAGGCTAGCGCTCTACAACTTGAGCCACAGCGCCACTTCCAGCTTTTTTCTTTTTGCTTATGTGGTGCTGAGGAATCGAACCCAGGGCCTCATGCATGCAAGGCAAGAGCTCTACCACTGAGCCACCTTCCCAGCCCCAGGAGAACAGGTTTTACTACTAGAAAGGAATTTAAACTCTAGTGGTGCCCAAGAAAATACACTTGGATTCTTGAAAACTTCCAGATACCTGTTGATTTTTTTTCTTTGCCCATGTTGAAGATTTTGTTTCAAATTTCCAGATGAAAAGGAAGAAAAGTAGTCTTTACTAAGTTATTCGATGAAAAAGTACATTAACTCTAGAATTAGGGAAGCAGAAAACAAGATTGGATTCCCAGCTGCCTTTGGGATCTTGGATGAGTCATACAGACTTTATAAGTCTGTGTGTCTAAAATGGGGATGAGGTAATAGTAACATCTACCTTAAAAATTGTGTAAATGTTAAAGAAAGGTATTGTGCTTTTCCACTGTGGACTTGGATATGTAATGATATACTGATGGTTTGATTTTTTTATTTTTTAATTAATTTTTGTTATTATTTCAAGTAGATGTACAAAAGATTTTCAATTCCACAAGTCAGATAATGAGGACCATGCATCTGGTCAGTGTTACCCCTGTCATCTTTCTCCCACATGATTTTCCATTTTTGTCCCAACCTTTTTGTGTGTATATAGGTACCAGGAATGGGGCTTGAACTCAGGGCCTCACACTCTTGCTTGGCTTTTTCACTTAAGGCTGGCTTTCTACCACTTGAGTCACACCTCCATTACCAGCTTTTTGCTAGTCAGTTGAAAATAAGAGTCTCATGGACTTTTCTGCTCCAGCTGTGTTTGACCCATGATCCTCAGATCTCAGTCTACTGAGCAACTTAGATTGCAGCCATGAGCTACTAGTGCCCAGTTAGCCAACTTTTTCTAGAACCTTATTTAACTAGAATTATGTAAGTAATACAATAAATATTTACTGAAGTTCTCTTCCTTAATTTTCTTTTTCTTTTTTTTTTTTTTGTCAGTTGTGGGGCCTGAACTCTGGGCCTGGGCGCAGTCCTTGAGCTCTTCAGTTCAAGGCTAGCACTCTACCACTTGAGCCACAGCGCCACTTCTGGCTTTTTTTGCTTATAAGGTGCTGAGGAATCGAATCCAGGGCCTCATGCACGCAAGGCAAGCACTCTACCACTGAGCCACCTTCCCAGCCTCCTCTTCCTTAATTTTCAAAGAATCCAGTGGCTGTAGCCCTTTTCCTTAAATCAAATATTCTTACCCTTTGTTTTCCACTGCCACGGAAATGGTTTGCTCTTTGACAAAACTCCCTCTTTGACTTATAGTTCTTTGCCTCCATGATGTTAATGTGACCGGGCACCAGTATAGACTCACCATGTATTATAATGTGGACACACTGCCTACCAGTTGGTTAAATAGCTACTAAATCTAAGTCCCCAGTGTGGTACCCCTGCTCCCATAGCCTCATCCATTTGGGCCCAACCTCCTTTCCAGAATCCCTTGCCTATTCCAACCTCAAGACAACTAAAGAATCAAGGAAGCTGGGTGCCAGTGGCTCATGCCTGTATCCTAGCTACTGAGGAGGCTGAGATCTGAGGATCACAGTTCAAAGCCAGCCCAGACAGGAATGTCCGTGAGACTCTTATCGCCAATAAAACCACTAGAAAACCAGAAGTGGCACTGTGGCTCAAGCAGTAGAGTGCTAGCCTTGGGCTGAAGAGCTGAGGGACAGCGTCCAGGCCCAGAGTTCAAGCCCCACGACCAAAAAAAAAAAGAAAGAAAGCCTAGCACAGCAGGAGGCCACAGGACCTGCCTCCATCCAGAGAATAGGATGCTGTTAGTATCTCCCTGACTCCCAGAATGAGAATGTTAAGGCTTTCACACTTCCTTACTCCACTCCTCACATCTCCAGTTCAAATCACTCCTCATTGCTTGGCCAGGGACCTTCCTATCCTACCAAATCCTTCCTCGCTCGCTCTCACAGCCTCTCTTGTGTATTTCCTGTAGTGTTATCTGTACTCTGACCATCTTCAGGCCTCCTTCCCCATCATTGCTGGCCAGGCCTCTTCTTGGATTGCCCTGAGGACCCAAACCAGTTCAGCAGGGGCGAAATACCACACTGCATGCACATGGCCAAGCCAATGTAAAGCATTGAAATGCCTCAATAACTAATAGTAAAGAACCACTGCTCGACATTCCTCTTCATCCAGTGTCCCTTTACTCTGACTACTCCTGGGAAACTTGCCCTCTTCTCCTTTGATTCCATACCCAACCTCCTGGGCCCTGCTCCAGGACTATAGCCAACATCTCTTCTGATGGGGGCCCATGTTCTACTAGTGTATGAGTGATATGTCAGTTACCATTGCAAAGAACTCTACCGTGTAGAGTAAGGTAACTTCAATTCCTTGTTTTATTAATTCATTAGTTATTCTACCAACATTGATGAGTTGCCCACTGTCTCCCAGATCTAGAGTCTTCAAACCAGATGAGGTCTCTGCCCTTAAGTACTTGCATTCTGGTAAGGTAGGTAGATGATCTACAAGGAAATAAACATATATACTGATAAATAAACCGAGATCTTGATCAAAGAGCAGTATTAGCTCAAGGAAGTCAGAAATGGCTTCAGAAAGAACACTGTGTTTACAATAGACCTTCAGGGTACACCAGGTTTCTGTATCCTTGGGAAAGGGGAGCAGCATAAGCAATGGCTTTGGATGGAACATTGGCATGTATTTAGGGACCAGGAATTCAATTTGGTTGGACAGAAAATGTACACAGAGGAGGCTCCTGGGAAAGATGCAAGTGGATTGACCAAGTGAGAAGGGTCACTTAGACTTAAAGATAGACTTAGTGCAGACTAGTCAAGACCCAAATTCTAGTGCTCATGGTCCTCCAGTAAAATACCCATGAGCACACTCATTAATCTGAGCAAAGGCCTTCTATACTAATTGGTAGGTTGTACACTAAACAAAATGCAGGCTCAAGGGGTAGGTAAGTGCCTTTGATATGCAAGCCTCCCACACTAGTGTGTTGGTTTCCTACAATTCTTTGCATAGGCCCTACTTTTATACAAATAGGCTAGCATCTCTCCAGAAGGAAACCTTTTCCGTTTCATCCTAAGGCCTGCAAAAGGCTAGAAACAGCTTTGCCAGATACTTCATTCCCTAGCCAGACTATTCTGCCCTTTCCTTCCAAATTCTATAGATACCCCTTTGCTTGTATCCCATCTCCACCTCTCTAGCCTTGCCTTTAAACCCCAAATCATCCTGATCTAACCTGTGCCTAGTAGAGCCAGGTTTCCTCCGATCACTTAACTCCTCCTTCAGACTGCTCCTATTTCCTACTCTCTTCTCTAGTCCTTACCTGATGACCCAACCACAGCCCTCCCTCTGTCCAAACACATGGATCTTACAGTTCCTCTTCCTGGACAACCTCCACAAGGTCGCCTTGATGACCTGACTTCATGATTGTGCGCTGAATCAGTGGTATCTCTCAACAGTGGGTCTTTCACATGAGATTGCTTACCCAGGTTGTCACCTTCCCAAAGTAGGAAGAAGCCATGAGAAGGTATTACTCATGGCTGATGTTAAAAGAAATCTTCATTCCTGTTGCTATGGGTACCTTTGATTCATCCAATAAGAAAATGGGGTGGTGTTCTTTCATGGGGTGGCATGAATTTACAAGCATACCTTGATTATTTATATATGCCAAGCGTGGGTGATATATCAGTAAATACAGTGTGATCCCTTTCTGTAGAATGGATGTTTATTTAACCAAAACTCTGTGTGGTGTGTGTGTGTGTGTGTGTGTGTGTGTGTGTGTGTGTGTGTGTGTGTGCTTGTGTGCTTGTGTGCTTGTGTGCTTGTGCTGATCCTGGGGCTTGAACTCAGGGGCCTTAGCCTGGCCCGTGAGCTGTTTTGTTCAAGGCAAACACTCTGCCACTTGAGCAACAGCTCCACTTCTGACTCTTTGCTGGTTCATTGGAGATAAGCATTTCATGGACTTTCCTACCCTGGCTGGCTTTGAACCATGATCCTCAGAGCTCAGCTTCCTGAGTAGCTAGGATTACAGGGGTGAGCCACCAGCTCCCAGCTAAACAAAGTTCTTGTGTGTGTTTGCCAGGAGCCAGAGACAGACAAGTGAAAACATGATCACACCCAGGGCAATATATACACAGGGCAAGGACTTCCCTGAGTTGAGTAGAAACCCATGAGGCACATGTGATCCAATTCACAGCCTCATGAAAGAGACATTTGTTCATCTAGTCCTTGATTCAGTATTAATACCTTACCTACTATATATAGTAGCTGCTCAAGGTCCTGAAGTCTTTCCTCATGAAAGCAGAAAATCAAAATATGGAAAACAAATTTGTAACTATATATTATGCTAAATGATGGGTGCTTTGGAAAAAATTAGAAAAACATGGAGATCTTCTGGGACATGGAGAAAGGGTCCTTGCATTGTACTGTGTTTTGTTATGTTTTGTTGTAGTATGTTATGGCTGTGTGTGTGTGTGTGTTCACACACTCATCTCCTAAGCTGTGGGAAACAGTTGTGAGGGGCCAACATGGACATCATATCCTCAGCACCCTCATAGTAAGTGTGTTCAATAAAGAGTCAGTAGGTAGAAGAAGAGATGGGTCAGTGGGTGAATGGATGTGTGGATGGATGAATGAAGTCCTGGAAGTAAGCAGTGAAAATTAGAAAGGCTAGAAATCAAGGATGGAGTTGACCAATGAAGAAGAGAAGATTAACAGATGAACCATCCATGTTGGTCAATTGCAGATGAGAATAAAGAAGATTCCAGTGTTGTGGGGCTGTTTCCTCTTGTGGAATCTCTACATCTCATCTTCTCATGCTGTTTACCCTGGAATCAAGGCAAGAATTACCCAGCAGGCACTGGACTATGGTAAGTTGGAGGCTTTCAGAGCCTGGCTGGTCTATGATGCAAACCAGAAACTTGTGACTTGGGCTGTCTCATGAATGAAACAAACTCTTCACTGTTAGTCCCTTATGCAGAAGTGGCTACAATGGCTGAGAATGAGAGTTGCCTTAAAAAAAAGAAAAAAGAAAACTCTTGCCAGAGTTACTCTGATAGGAAGCAAATCTAAACACAGCAACAGAGTCTCTGTCTGTAGCTGTCTCTCACACACTGTCTCTCTCTTTTCTACACACATACATAATAAACATTGTAGAGCTCTCAATGAACAAGCATTGGAGGAAAGGAATTTAGAGTAAAAGCAACACATTAGAGACTCATAATGCAAAAACTTGAAATCCTCTAAACTCATTTGCAAATTTTTATGTGGATGGTGATTAAATTTTAATGTGGATGGTGAATTTTTCTTGAGCGAAGCTTCATCCTATTTACTAGAGGTACAAAGGAATCTGTGACTCTGACAGACTAAGAGCCACTACAAACTAAGAGTGGCGCTAAATTCTTGTAATTCCCTGCTACTGAAGTGGCAGAGATAAGAGGACCATAGTTGAAGGACAACCTAAATGGGGAAAAAGTCAGTGAAGCCAGATACCTGTGACTTATGCCTATAATCCTAGCCTCTCAGGAGGCTGAGATCTGAGGATCCCAGTTCAAAACCAGCCAGGACAGGAAAGTCTGTGAGTCTCTTATCTCCAATTAACCACCAGAAAACCAGAAGTGGTGCTGTGGCTCAACCGGTAGGGCACTCTCCTTGAGCTGAAGAGTGCAGGGACAGCACCCAAGGCGAGTTCAAGTCCCACAACCAACAACAACAACAAAAAGTCAGTGAGACCCTAAATCAAAACTGACATGACCTAGCTACTCAGGAGATCTGAGGATCGCAGTTCAATGCTAGCCTTACCTCAGCAGGAAATTCCGTAAGACTCTTATCTCTAATAAACTACTCAGAAAAAAAAAAAAAAAACAAACCAGAAGCACTGTGGCTCATGGGCTAGAGCACTACCCTTGAGAAAAATAATCTCAAGGACAGAGCCTTGAATTCAAGCACCAGGACCAGCGCAAGGGGGAAAAAAATATAAGCATGTTTTTTCATGCCTGTACTCCAAGCTATTTGGAAGATACACAGGCAGGAAGATTTTGAATTCAGTGCTAACTGTAACAAGGTTAGCAGCAAGATTCTAGCTCAAAAACAAAATACAAATAAAAGGGCTCGGGGCCAGGCTCAAGGGGTGGAGCCTAGAATGTGCAAAGCCCTGGGTTTATGGGACAGCTTGCTTTTCCCCAATAGCTCATGGGGCATAGGAAATCGCCAGTGGAGCCATCTTGTACCATCATGTGTTATGTAATGATGTCACACTAGGAGTGTGTATATTTACATGTGTGACTTGTTACTATACTGACATGCTTATGTGAGTTGAAATACTTGTCAGAAATAGATACATTCTAACAGTGTTAACTGTACTCTTAGTCTGGGAGCATAGTTTAAGTAGTAGAGCACTTGCCTAGCAAGTACTCAGCCCTACTTCAATCCACAGTATGGGGGTGGGGTGGGTAGGGGCAAGAGAACATCTTATAGAGCAAAGCATTTACAAGGACAATCTGAAGTCCATAATATGGATGTCAGTTCTGTCCTTATTCTTAGTACAGGGTCTTGGGAAAGTAGGGTTTCATATCTGGAAAAGTAATGACAAAAATGGTACTTCAGAGCTATAATCCCAGCTGCTTAAGAGGTTGAGATCTGAGAATCACAGCTTGAAACCTACCTAGGAAAAGACTAGGAAAAAACAGGCAGGAAAAGACTGTGAAAATTTTATCTCCAGTTAACCCCAAAAAGTCAGAAGTATATCTGTGGCTCAAAGCCCAGGACCAGCACACAAGGAGTAGGAGGTGGGGGAGGGGGGGAAGGAGGGAGAGGGGAAGAAGAGAAAGAGGAGGAGAAAGGAAAGAAAAAAAAGAAAGAGAAAGAGGAAAAAGGGGGGAAAGAAAGAAACAAGAGAAAGAAGAAAGAAGCTGATGGGCTGATGGGTTATTCCAGCAATGAATACCAATCATTTGGGTGGGGGGGTCCTGGGGCTTGAACTCTGGGGGCCTGGGTGCTGTCCTTGAGCTTCTTTTTGCTCAGAGCAAGCACTTTACCATTTGAGCCACAGCACCACTTCTGGCTTTTTTGAGTAGTTTACTGGAGATAAGAGTCTCACAGAGTTTTCTGCCCCAGCTGGTTTTGAACTATGATCCTCAGATCTCAGCTTCCTTAATAGGTGGATTACAGGTGTGAGCCACTGGCACCTGGCTGAATACCAACTTTTTTTATGTCTATCTTGGAGAATCTGGTGGAAATATGGATCATTCCCCACCTCCACCCCTGAAAAAAATGAGACACAAATCCCCACATGATCCATTCAGTCTTCCATTGCAATTTCAGTCAATTCAACGTTCTTTATGGCCCATAGACATCAGGTCAAAAAGACAAGAGAAGACAAGTACTTCCCGGAATTGGCATTAACACAGATTCTGGAGCCAAATTGTTTCAATTCCACTCCATTCTTAGCTGTATGGTTTGGGTTAGCATTAGCCCCCCACGGGCAGAGTGTCCTCATCTGGACAGCGTCCACCGTGACCACAGTGGCATCCTTGGAAGAACGCAATGCATTTTTCCCATCACAACAGTGATTGCAGACTGTGGTCCTGGGTACAGAATGAACATCTCTCATGATTTTAACCTCCCTGAGGACCAGTGTATCTACAGGCAAAGCAGGAACAGTCCTTCATTGTAAGGGATGCTGTGTTCTTACCTAACAGTCAGTCTTCCTCCACAATCTGTATTTGTGGGTTAATGATATCGTGTCATTGTCTTTGTTATTAGCCATAGACACAGCCTTGTCTCCTTTTACAGGTGTTGAAGTTGGAATGAAGGTGCTTGAGCAAATGATGAAGGAAAAGACCATTCCAGATATCATAGGTTCTGAGTCGCTTGAGTTTCTAAAGATTGATTATGTGAACTACAATTTTTCAAAGTAAGTAAAAGAGAAGAGCTTTTCTGCCTCACATAGAAGCTCAAGCTGGGGTGCCAGTGGTTCATGCCTATAATCCTAGCTACTTGGAAGGCTGAGCATGGGAGGATCATGGTTAGAGGCCAGTCTATGTAGAAAAGTTCATCACACACACACACACACACACACACACACACACACACGCACACACACACACACACACACACTTCTCAACCCATAGATGGGTGTGGTGGTGTGCACCTGTCACCCCAGCAACAATGGGAAACCTAAAATAGGTAGATCACAATCCACTCAGGGAAGGGAGCAAAATCCTAATTCAAAAATAACAAGTGAAAATAGGGCTGGAGGCATGGCTCAGCTGTAAGCACCTGCCTAAGAAATGCGAGGCCTTAAGTTCAAATGGAGAAAGGGGGGATAAAAGGTCAACTAAAACAGTGGAGCGCCATGATTTTACTAGAACTCATCTCCTTTATCTCCTTGCTGTACCTTCCTCTGACTTCTGTTCTCCAGTTTAGAGAATATTATGGCTCGTGGCCAATTATGGCCACCATAATCCCATCATCAAATCCATGTTCCATACATCTGCACCAGACAGAAGCACAGGGTTCATACAAGCTGAGTCAGTCTTCTTGTTCATGTTTTTGTCTGAAGCCCTGCCCTAATATGATTCTGTCTGCACAACCATGAACACAACTTAGTTATATGCCCACACTTAGTAGCAAGGGAGATAGGGAAATTACTTTTCCAATCAGACAACTCTGTCATCCAGAACAAAGCCAGAGATGTTTAGAGAAGTAAAGGAAATAGATGTTCTGACAGCCACTGGCTCTCTCCTCCACGGTTGCCAACAAAAGTCTCTAAGGCAGTAGAGGAAGAATAAGTCTTTGCTGATTGATCTTGATCTCAATCTGAAAGTTGAAGGGAGAGCTGAGCTGTGTGTGTGTGTGTCTGTCTGTCTGTCTGTCTGTCTGCCTGTCTGTATTGGATGTGTGTCTGTGTGTCCCCTACTGCATGCTGATCCTGGGGCTTGAACTCAGAGCCTGGGTGCTGCTCCCAGAGCTTCTTTTGTTTAAGGCTGGGACTCTGTCATTTGAGCTACAGCTCCACTTCTGGCTTTTTAGTGGTGAATTGGAGATAAGAGTATCACACACTTTCCTGCACAAGCTGCCTTCAAACCTGGATCCTCAGACCTCAGCCTCATGAGTAACTAGGATTACAGCATGAGCCACCAGCACCCAGTTGAGCTTCTGTAAGGAGTTTTGTGCTACTGAGATTCTCTTTTGCCCCAATACTCTTTTAAATCAATGAAATTTCCCTGCTACACTTACCCTTTAGAGTAATCATTCCCCTGATGTAGCCTATGAAATCAGCTGGTTTCTTTGTGAGGAGGGAGAGATGATGTGGTACAGAGAAAGATCTGGCCTATTCTGTAGAAAGTCAGGCATTCAATGAGCATTTACTGAGCACTAAGACACACCAGGTTTTGTTCTTTGAATAACAAAGCTATCGCTTTTGTTCTTCATATCCAGTGGGAGAAATGGACATTAAAGGGGAAAGGAGGGGAATTAGGAGGGGAGAGAACGGGTAGGGAGGGGAAAATAAAGGAAGTGAAAGAGGAAGAAGAAGAAAGGAGAAGAAAGGAAGGAAAGGAAGGAAGGGAAGGGAAGGGAAGGGAGGGGAAGGGAAGGGAAGGGCAAGGCAAGGCAGGGCAAGGCAAGGCTTCTTGCTCTCTCCCCTAAGTAGACAGCAGGGCTTCCTGGGAGGCAGTGTGGAGACCACAGCACAGACTGGAGGCCCTTTCCTCTGCAGGAATTCCACCACAGTGTTTTCAGTGTTGCCGTACCTAGAAATGTGCAGAAGAGTTGCCCTCATGCTCCTGTTTCTTGTCTTGCAGCATAAAAGTCAATGCTTTGTCATTCCCTAATACATCATTAGCCTTTGTGCCTGGAGTAGGACTCAAAGTGCTCACCAACCATGGCACAGCCAACATCAGCAACCATTGGGAAGTCAAGTCTCCCCTTTTGTGAGTATTTCACTGCATGTCTGCTGCGGTTCTGCGACAAAATGGAACAAATAATGGGCCATGCACAAATTCACCATTGTTATTGTCAGTGTTAGAAACTCCCCCTCTCTCAGTATTAATAATCTTTCTCAAGAATGTTATTTCTAAGTGATAATAAGTACATCCTTGTTCGGGGATGGGTGGGGTGAAATTCATCTTTCTCTTAAAAGCAGAGCAACTGCCAGTGATGGAGGCTCACGCCTGTAATCCTAGCTTCTCAGGAAGCTGAGATCTAAGGAGCTCAGTGTGAAGTCAGACAAGACAGGAGAGTCCATGAGACTCTTAGCTCCAACTAGCTACCAAAAAGCCAGAAGCAGAGCTAAGGTTCAAGTGATAGAGACCTAGCCTTGAGTGGGAAAGCTCAGGGACAGCACCTAGACCCTGAGTTCAAGTCCCAGGACTGGCACAAAATAAGTAAATACCAAAGCAGAGCAGCTGATACAATGTTATTTCCTATGGCTGAGCGGTCCCTGACTGTGGGAGAGACAGAAAAGCTCTCAACATTTAAAGTCCACTGACGCATTGTTGCATGACCTCAAACCAGGCGCTTCCCTGTCTGTACTGGCAACTACTGGGAAATAGAGCCTCCTGCTTCGCCCAGAGGCTGAAGCATGGTGGTCAGCTCAAACTCCGCTCTTCCCCCAAACCAAAGCCTCACACACACTCATATAGAAGGAAGGGGTCAGGTTCAAAGTATACTTACATTCTACCTGCTATGTGCAAGTTACCACTCTGGGTGTAATAGGTAGGTGGCCTGGTTGGTGCCCCAGAATAACACTTGGTCATTCTACAATCATTTATTGAATGCCTGCTGAGTATCCTTTTTCCCCATCAGAACTCCAGTCCTGTAGATTGCAGAAACATAACATATTTTCCCTCATCCCCATAACAGCCAAGATTCTTCTGGTTCTCCATGGCTTTCGTGACTTGCCAACCATGTTTGGAGCCCTTACTCTGTCCTGGGGACACATGGTCCTCTGCCTCAAGGGGTTTGCCAGTTCTGTCTGTCACTTCCCAATCTGTGGCCCTCTGGATGAGGAGTTGGTATAGCAGAGTATATCCACATGCTAAATAGATACTCAACCACTACTAGGAGCACTTGACATGAAATAAGTACAGTATCCTAGAGCATACCATTCATTATTTCATTCATCCAGTAAATATTCCTTCTGCACCTGTCACAAGCATCAGGAATGCCAACCCTACTCTCCAGGAGCTTAGAGTCTCTGTCTAGGATGAAAAAGACAATCCATCTCCATGTCTGGTGCAGAGCCAGATAACCTGGTGCTTTCTTTCTGCGCAGCTATGATACAGGGGAGTCTGATCTGTATCTCTCTGGAATCTACTTTACTGGCATCATTGTCCTAACTCGAAATGAAGTTGGTCACCCAGCCCTGAAGCTCACAGACTGCTACGCCCAAGTGAGCCACGCCCATGTCTCATTTGCGGGAGGGCTCAGGTGAGTGCAAGCACTGGTGAGCCTTGGAATGGACTCTTGGGCTCCTTGGCCTGGGGAAGGCTTATCCGTAGCAGATTGTGGTCCTTAACTCTTCTTTTCTGCTTTTTCCAGTGTCCTATATAATTCCTTTGCTGAGCCCATGGAGAAACCCATTTTAAGGAACTTAAATGAAATGGTGAGACCTTAGACATTGATAACACCATAAAATGGTATCAGTTGTAGGTCTATCATTCTTTCATTATACATCATGGTGATACTGGGGCTTGAACACAGGATGTCATGCTTGCAAAGTGGGCACTCTACCATTTGAGCCATATTCCCAGTTCATTTTGCTTTCGTTATTTTTGGGATAGTGTCCCATATTTATGTGCAGGTCAGCCTGGATCCTGAGCTTCCTCTACTTACATTTCCCACATGGTTGAGATAACACGTGTGTACCACACACATAGCTATTGATTGAGATGGGATCTTGCTAACATTTTGCCCAAGCTGGACTTGAACTATAATCTTTTCAAACTTTACCTCCCAAATAGCTAGGATTATAGGCATAAAGCATTGTGCTTAGTTCATCCTATAATCATTCCTAACAAACCTTTATTGAGCACCTCCTATGTGCTAGGTGCCATCCAAGGGACTTTCATATAGATTATTCTTCACAACTTTGTAACATTCTCAAGTCATACTGTATGCCCACATTGTGGCAGGGTGCTGGGGATACAGAAATGAATAAAACTACATCTCCTTCCTCGGGTTTCTCACTGTAGACTTGGCAAAAACATCAACAAAAGTTTATTATCTGTCTATTGCATGCCAAGCATTGGACTGGGGTTTGTTGGGAACACAAGAGAGGGAAAATCTTGTCTATGTAGGAAAACTAAACACAACCCATGGTTGTGTCATGATTAGGTTAAACTGAAGGGATTCAGGGAATTAGAAGCAGCAGCAGCAGCAGCAGCATCATACCTTTAAATGCCCTTGGAGATTTTTTATGGGATGCAGGCATTGAACAGGACTCAAAGTACAGGTAACTTTTGGATAGATAAACAATGGAGGACAAGCCAGGCACTAGTGGCTCATGCCTATAATCCTAGCTACTCAGGAGGCTGAGATACGAAGATCATGGTTTGAAGCCAGCCCAGGTGGGAGAGTCAGTGAGACTCTTATCCCCACTTAAAACTGGAAGTGGAGCAGTAGCTCAACATGGTAGAGCAATGGCCTTAAGCAAAAAGCTCAAAGTCAGTGCCCAGGCCCTGAGTTCAAGCCCCACGAACAAACCACACACACACACACACACACACACAAAGATGAATGAGGAACAGGCAAGATCTCTCCATGTAATACAATAAGAATAAATTAAGTAACCAGGTGTGGCTGGCTCATGCTGTAATCCTAGCTACTCAAGAGGCTGCAATCTTAGAATCTCTGTTCAAAGTTAGTCCAGGCAGGAAAGTGCAAGAGACTTGATGCAGGAAACTCTGAGAGACTTATCTCCAATGAACCAGCAGAATGCTGGAAGTAGACCTGTGGCTCAATCGATAAAGTGCTGGTCTTGAGCAGAGAGCTAAAGGATAGTACCCAAGCCCTGAGTTCAAGCTCCAGTACCAACACACACGCACGTGCACGCATGCACGCGCGCGTGCGCACACACACACACACACAGAGTTCTTAGTCCAATTCTAAAGCAAGGGAAATCATTCAATTCCTAAATAAATATCTGATGCCCTGTGCTTGCCGAATAGCCCACAGGAAAGTAAAGGCTGTAGATGCTTCCACTCTGGGCAGGGCATGGGGCGGCTAAGAAGCAGTCAGGAAAGATAGAGTTGCTCAGGCAGCACCTGTGCTAACATGCCAAGTGCTTGCTCTTTTCTGGGGTGGTGTGGACACGGTCCCAGTGCCTATGGAGCTTAACCAATCTTCAACGGCATACTGCCCATATATATATTGGGCTTGAGGACTGTGCTCATCAAGTCACATAAGGAGGAATCCTAATGACCAAAGGGATAATATCTCCTAGCCAGAAGACCTGCTTACAATGTGATAACATACTTGTTTCCTTTCTTTTGTGGCCAGCTCTGCCCCATGATTACCAATGAGGTGGAGGCTTTCAATGTCAACCTCAGTGCCCTGGAGGGTGAGTCTTACCATGGGGTGGTTCTTTTCCCACCTTCAAATGCCACTACTTCTAGGTTTGGTCTTTCAGACAGTAAAGCACCTGCTTCTTCACTCTGCCTTCCTTCTACCTGGCCAAGTCCCAGGGCTTCTGTAGAAGATTATGTCCCTGTGTGTACAGCAGGTGCTCCTAGGCACCCAATCAAGTTCATGGCTGCAAGGAGGGTACCCCACCCACACCAAGTCAATAATGTTGGACTGGTGACAGGATAAAGGGAAACAGTAAATGCAAATGGATGAAAGACAGGGAATGACTGGAGAGATAGGAAAAGAGAAAGACATAGGGAGGAAAGACTTTGTCTAGGTTCCTCACATGCTACTGTGCCTTGGGCAGGGGGCCTTACCTTCGAAGATTCCTTCCCTGCTTCCTTCACCTCAAGAGTAGTGATGGGGACCTACTGAATGCATTTGATAAGCTATAGTGATGTCGAATAATATTGTACCCCTACCTTAGCGGGCCTTCATCTTTTCTTGCTTCTCATCTCTATCCATTGAATAAGCCATGTATGATCTACAAGAAGAGAATATGTAAGCTGGGCACCTGTAGCTGAGTAGCTATAATTCTAGCTACTTAGGAGGCTGGGCTGTTCAAAGCGAGCCTCTAGGCAGAAAAGTCTGATTCTTATCTCCAGTTAACTAACAAAAATCTCAAACTAGAGTTGTGACTCAAGTGGTAGAGTACCATGCCAACCTTGAGTGAAAAAGCTAAGAGACAGTACTCCGGGCCCTGAGTTTCAACCCCAGTACCAACATGGAGGGGGGGAGAGAGGAAGAGAAAGAGAGAAAAACATGATACTCAGGTGTCTTCCTCTGTGAACCCTCCTAGACAGATGCCTAAAAAAGACAGAGAAGGATTTTTTTTTAACTTTCCTCTTTTGACTGGTCTAGTTTTCCTTAGTTTCCAAAAGTAAACATATCTCACTAATGCAAAGGGGAAATTTATATCTCAAGCAGAAGATTATTATATTAGTATGATTATATACATATGCTTTTAATGTATATGAACATTCTTTTCTTTGTTGGTCATTCAGTTTTAATCAAGATTGACAACTATACCCTGCTGGATTGCTCCCTAGTCAGTTCCCCAGAAATTTCTGAGCATTACTTGGACCTCAATTTGAAGGTAACTTTATCATTCTCATCTGACTGTCAACAACTAATATCTGGAGAATGAAGAATAAGCATACATGCTTTTCCATCCATATAATTTTATTTCAAACAACTCTTGCACACTTATGCCCTTTGAAAAGACTCAGGGAGCTGGGTACCAGTGGCTCACTCTTGTAATCCTAGAAACTCAGGAGGCTGAGATCTGAGGAGCACAATTCCAAGTTAGCCTGGGAAGAAAAAGTGTGAGATTCTTGTCTCCAGTTAAGCAGCAAAAAAGCTGAACATGAAACTGGGCACTGGTGGCTCCTGCCTGTAATTCTAGCTACTCAGGAGGCTGAGATTAGAGGATCGTGGTTCAAAGCCAGCCTGGACAGGAAAAGTCATGAGACTCTTATCTCCAGTTAACCACCAGGAAACCAGAAGTGGCACTGTGGCTCAAGTGGTAGAGCACTAGCCTCGAGCTGAAGACCTCAGGGACAAAGCCCAGGCCCAGAGTTCAAGCCCCACAACTGACAAAAAAAATAAAGCTGAACATGAAACTATGGTTCAAGTGTAGTCTTGAGTGAAAAAGCCAAGTGAGAAGGCTGGGAAGGTGGCTCAGTGGTAGAGTGCTTGCTTTGCATGCATGAGGCCCTGGGTTCAATTTTCAGCACCACATAAGCAGAAAAAGCAGGAAGTAGGGCTGTGGCTCAAATTGTAGAGTGCTGAAGATTGAAGAGTGCTCTTCAGCTGAAGAGCTGAGGGACAGCTCCCAGACCCAGAGTTCAGGCCCAATGACCCACAAAAAAAAATAAAAGAAAAAAAATTCAAGTGAGAGCCATAAGGCCCTTCATTTGAGTCCCAGTGCCAACACAAAAACTCTGGAACCTTTTCTTTATGGGCAAATGTTAGTGGATTTAGCTAAAGGCTGCTGACCTTGTCTGTGTCATGAGCATACAGACACGGAGGTCATTGACCTGGGAAAAACAATCATTGTGCCTATGTTTAGTTCTATCCCAAAGTTAATATTGTCGTCTTCTAAATGTATGTTGCTTTCACTCATTCAGTTTCTTTCAAATCCATTCCAAATGTTGTTCAAAACCGTATTTGGTAATCAAACCTAACAGCTAAGGAAAGCAGCATTAAGGTCTCATGAAAAGGCTGTGTGAGCCGTTAGGAGTCTCGGATCTTGTGAGGGTTTCTTTCAGCAGTCATGGACTTGGAATGTCAAGGGTTTGACATCTCCACTGGTACCTCAGGAACTATTCACAGTCCACTCCATCCACACTGATTGTGTATCTTCCTTTTATCTGAGAAAAGCACTAACTAGAAATTTCTCAATGAAGGCTATCCCTGGTAGATATTCAAAACTCATTAGAGTTGATGGTAAAAGTATTTTAAAATTTAGCCAGGAGCTGGTGGCATATGTCTGTAATCCTAGCTACTCAGGAGACTGAGATCTGAGGGTCATAATTCAAAGCCAGCCCAGGCAGGAAAGTGCATGAGACTTTTATTTCCAATTAACCTCCAGAAAACTAGAAGTGAAACTGTGGCTCATAGTGGTAGAGCACTAGCCTTGAGGATCAGGGCTTAGGGACAGTGCCCAGGCCCTGAGCTCAAGCCCCACGAAAAAAACAAAAATAAAACATAAATTAAAACAATAGCCAGGCACCAGTGGCGTATGCCCAGATCCTGAGTTCAAACCTCACAACCAACCAAAATAAAAAATTTTTTTAAATAATTAAAAAAAAATCTTCAGGGCTGGGAAGGTGGCTCAGTGGTAGAGTGCTTGCCTTGCATGCATGAGGCCCTGGATTCGATTCCTCAGCACCACATAAGCAGAAAAAGCCGGAAGTGGTGCTGTGGCTCAAGTGGTAGAGTGCTAGCCTTGAGTTGAAGAGCTGAGGGACAGCGCCCAGGCCCAGAGTTCAGGCCCCATGACCGACCCCCCAAAAAAAAAAATCTCAGAGCTTTGAAAGGCCACTAGCCAAAGTGTTCAATAGGCTTTGTCATCCTCTTTTTTTTTTTGTCATCCTCTTATCCCTACTGAGTTTCTGGGATTTTTCTTACTCTTTTTTTTTTGCGGGGGGAAGGAGGTCCAGTTGTGGGGCCTGAACTCTGGGCCTGGGAGTTGTCCCTCAGCTCTTCAGCTCAAGGCTAGCACTCTACCACTTGAGCCACAGCGCCACTTCCGGCTTTTTTCTTTTTGCTTATGTGGTGCTGAGGAATCGAACCCAGGGCCTCATACATGCAAGGCAAGCGCTCTACCACTGAGAGACCTTCCCAGCCCCCCCCCCAGGATTTTTCTTATTCTGACTTGAGAAGGTCTACCTTGTTAGTTTCCCACATTCATGTTTTCTTCTGGTAACTGGCCTTTCTCTCTTGCCCCAGGGTGTGTTCTACCCACTGGAAAACCTGGCTGATCCCAACTTCTCACCTGTACCTTTTGTGCTCCCAGACCGAAGGGACTCCATGCTCTACATTGGAATCTCTGAGTATTTCTTTCGATCAGCATCTTTTGCTCATTTCGTAGCTGGAGCTTTTGGTGCCACACTCTCTACCAAGGAGGTGAGCAGAGTTTCCACATGGTGACAAGTGACAACATCCTGTAACCTTTTAATAAGTCATTCATTCATTGGGAGATGATTATCATAGCTTTGATTCCTGGGCTGTTTTAGGCTAGCACTCCTAATGCAGAACAATGAATGAGGGGGATTTGGAATGAATGATTCATTACTTGGGGGGAGCTGTTGGGTTTCTAGCTCTGATACCTTCAGGGTTGGGGTTTTTTGTTTTTCATGGCCTGTGGCCACTCTTTCATATTATTCTTCATTAATAACAAGACCTCCCTCTACCATGTATCACCTGACCTTTAGCCACTTCAACTTATTCAACTTCAGTGTGCCATAATTTCCTCCTTTGGAAAATTGGAATACTCATAGGTCCACATTCACAAAGTTCTTAGGAGCATTGAAAGTTTTGCCAGGTATCATGCCTGTAATCCTAGCTACTCAGGAGGCTGAGATATGAGGATTGCAGTTCAATGCCAACCTGGGCAAAAAAGTCCATGAGACTCATATCTCCAATTAATCACCAGAAAACCAGAAGTGTCACTGTGGCTCCAAGAGGTAGAACATTAGCCTTGAGCAAAATGCTCAGGGACAGCTCCCAGGCCATGAGTTCAAGCCCCATGACCCACCAAAAAGAAAAAAAGTTTTGCAAGGCAAAAAAACCTGTAATCCTAGCCACTCCGGATGCTAAGATCTGAGGATCAAAGTCTAAAGCCTGTATTCCTAGCTACTCAGGAGGCTGAGATCTGAGGGTGAAGGTCCAAAGCCAGCCTGGACAGGAAAATCCACTGTTTGAGACTCTTATCTCCAGTTAACCACAAAGATCCAGAAATGGAACTGTGGTTCAAGTGAGCATAAAAACTCAAGGGCAGTGCCCACGCCAAGAGTTCAAACCCCAATAGCAGAAAAAAAAGTTTTAAGTAGGACAGTGGCTCACCTGTAATGCTATCTATTCAAGAGGCTGTGATCTGAAGGATAGCAATTCAAAACTAGCCTAGGAAGTTAAGTCCACAAAACTCCATCTCCAAAAAAAAAAGTCAGCAAAAACTCCAGGCTGGAGACATGATTCAAGTGATAGATCACCAGCCAAACAAGCCCAAAATACACATTAAAGCATCAGGCCAGCACAAAATCACATTGAACTGTAATTTATCATCATTTTTTGTGTTATTCAGACACCTCAGGATTTCTTCTAATGGTAATTACAACTAGTTTGTAATCTACAGCAATCAGTAAGAGTAAAGATATTCAGTGATGATTCTCTCTGCCCTTTTGATAAAAAAACAACTCCCTCCAACCAGCCAACCAAAAACTATTATTCATCAGTATCCCTTTGAAATCTGTTGAAATCTGCTTGAATATGTACTTTAATGATACAAGCTGTTACAAATCTTACATGCAAGATGGAAAGTATGGCAGCACCATCCAGCTAACAGGGCCAAGTGTTAAATACTTCTAGCTTTACTGGATCTAAAATATACCAGAGCATGATAAAAAAGGACTCTAGTCATTCACACACAGTGAGACTAAAGGAAGATACTCTTAAGGGAGGAGCCCAAAGACCTAATGCCTCTTAACATACTGAAAGTACTATTTATCAGAATATTTCCAGGAAATGGGAACATAGGTTTGGGGGATTTTTTGGTGATGATGGTGGGTTTATTGGTTTGGGGGTTGGTTTTTTGTTGTTGTTGTTTTTGTTGTGTTTTGCTTTTAGTTGTTTTACTACTTCTCTTTTTCTCTTTGAGGGGACATGGAAACAGATAAGTATAAAGTGAAACAATACAGGCATGGTACTATGTGGAAAATGAGTTATGCAACTTGTGGGCAGGGAAAGGAGGAGAAACTGGAGGGAAGTGAAGGAATGGGTGACATTTTCTGAAAAGAAATGTACTCAGCTGAATGCCAGTAGATCATGCAACTCAGGGGGCTGAGATCTGAGGATCATGATTCAAAGCCAGCTAGAGCAGGAAAATCTGTGAGATACTATCTCCAGTTAACCACCAGAAAACTGGAAGTGGCGCTGTGGCTCAAAGTGGTAGAGCACTAGCCTTGAGCAAAAGAGCTCAGGGACAGGGCCCAGGCTCTGAGTTCAAGCCTACAATCCACCAAAAAAAAAAAAAATGTACTCATTACCTGACATGAAATGGTAAACCCTCTGTATAAATATCATAATAAAATTATAAGTTAAAAATACTTCTAGCTTTAGAGGTGAAGACTGGTCCCTGTAAGTAAGTTAGGTGTCAGTGATCTGGAGTAATGAGAACAAAAATACCACAAGACTTGATAGTACCTGTAGATTATGTGCAAATATATATGATACAGACGTTGTTCCCACGGCCAGAAAATAGTGTTTAGAATAGAAGGTAACTTCCTGTGTGACCTCAGGTAAGTTACTTTACTTCCCTAAGCCTCAGATTGATTCCCTGTGGTTGGGAACCTATCCTTTAAACAATAAATCTCCTGAACATTTTATGGTGCAACAACGTCATGATTTCATCAAGTTGTAAGGAAACCCTACCTTTCCCTGAAAAGACAGTTCAGGTGCAAACTTCACAGTGATGTGGTGATGTTTACATTCCAGATTTCCCACTATTTTGTTCAAAACTCCCAAGGATTTGGCAACTTCCTCTCCCGGGTGAGTACTCTGGGTCTGACTCTTGGATCTATGTTTGTTTGCAATGGTGTTACATCCAGGAGACTGGGATGGGGAGGGGATCCCTTTACATTCCTGTTTGATCCAAGCTTAAGTCTGTCTTTCCAGCCTTAACAGGTTGGTTTTAGCTGTCTTTTTGTCTTAGTCATATACCACAAATACATTCGGCACAGTACATGTTTGTTTTGATTTGTGAGTTGTTATTGTTGCTGTTCTACTATGAAAGACTTTTTTCCTACTCTTGACTGCATAATCACAAAACACCCCAAATTTGTGATCCCCTCATCAACTTACTACTCTCGATATCCACCTCTTTTCTCTAAATGGGGCAGATTGCAGAGATCTACATCTTGTCCCAGCCCTTCATGCTGGAGTTCATGGCCACCGAACCTCCCACCGTCCACTTAGAGCCCAACAACTTCACGTTGGACATCCCTGCCTCCATCATCATGCTCACCCAAACTGAGAACTCCACTGTTGAACCCATTGTCTCCATGGACTTTGTGAGTCTGGGAATCCAGGAGGGTAGTCTATGGAGGCTAAATCTGTTTTTTCTGTGAACAATTGAGCAGCAGAGTCTAAGTGTTTGGAGTAGAGGGAGAGACACGTCAGTTAAGACAAAGGAGAGGTTAGAGACCCAGGGTGTTAGGTAACTACATCCATTTTTGCCCCCTAAGAAGCATGCCAATCCCTGAAATTATAAGCTTTGCAAAAAACACGGCTTAGTCTTAAGGCAGCTACAGGGTGGTAGGGGAACAGGAGAGCAAATCTCTAGTCCTCCTGGAGGATGGGGTTTGGGCTGGGGTATAGAAAAGGTGATTGAATCGGCCAAGAATGTGGCTTAGTGGTAGAGTGCTTGCCTAGCATGCATGAAGCCCTGGGTTCGATTCCTCAGTACCACATACACAGAAAAGGCTGGAAATGGCATTGTGATTTAAGTGGTAGAGTGCTAACCTTAAGCAAAAAGAAGCTCAGGGACAGTGCCCATGCCCTGAGTTCAAATATCAGGACTGACAAAAAAAAAATCTACTTTCTACAAGTCAGTCCCTCAACTTCAGTTATAAGCATAACTGAATTTCTTTCTGCTCCCCCTGAAAATAAAAGTAATAGAGGTAGAACTCAAGTTTACTTGACCAGATGACATCCAAATGCAATCTGAGGGGCTGGGAAGGTGGCTCAGTGGTAGAGTGCTTGCCTTGCATGACTGAGGCCCTGGGTTCAATTCCTCAGCACCACATAAGCAAAAAGAAAAAAGCCGGAAGTGGCGCTGTGGCTCAGATGGTAGAGCTCTAGCCTTGAGCTGAAGAGCTGAGGGACAGCGCCCAGGCCCAGAGTTCAGGCCCCACGACCGGACCCAAAAAACAAAACCAAACCAAATGCAATCTGATATTAGACATCTAGGACAATGGGCTGGGATGTAGCACAGTGGCAAAGCACTTGCCCAGCAAGTGCAACATCCTGGGTACGATCCCCAGTACCAAAAAGAAAAAGACTTGATCTGGGACAATGAACCTAAGCAAAATTGCAAGCATGCACCATGCACGCATGCTCACATACACCTGCATGAGTACACAGGCAAAAGAGATGAGAAAAGGGAAAAGTAGTCTTCAAACAGTGAGGCCTTACAGTTAATTTGCCTGTTTTCCAAGAACAGAATTCTTGCTAGTATCTTTGGGATACAAGAGAACGTTGGGTTTATGATGTTTCCTCGATAGGAAATTGTATCTGTGGCCCAGATAGACTGTCATTCTTTGTCACTCATCTTAGTAATAGAAGATTTTGTTGATTTTATTGTCTGCAGGTTGCCAGTACCAGTGTGGGTCTGGCTATCTTGGGACAAAAACTGATCTGCTCCTTGTCTCTGAACAGGTAAGGTCAATTGCTTTAACCTTGATGACAATGAGTTAACAGATCCCAGAAATATTAGGAGAACAAGCTAAGTTAACCATTATGTTGCTGTGAGGTAGTTAAACTTGCTTTTTTCTGGATCTATGTTACTGCGAGAACCAACAGAGCAAACAGTGGATGTCAGGATTATTTATAGGCATGTGATTGAAAGAGCTGATTCTGATCTGCTAAATTCATATCAGTCTTCAGAAATGGTTAGGTTGATCCTCTGGCTTCCTTTAGTCCTCGTAAATGTGAATTCTGAAATGTGAGTTCCTGCTCTGCAGATCTCCTTGAGATCCAGGACACTGGAGTCTGACAGTACCCCGATGCCTTAGTGGGGTCTGAGTAGGACTGGTTATACCTTTTCGGGGGAAACCATTATAGAATAAGAATACCAGGCCCCTGCTTCTAACCCGTACACAAAATTTCAAGATGGAAACTGCAAGCCAGTTGACCAAGGGTTCAAGCCTTCTGGATAAGGCATTGAGTAGCTGCACTTGAGTGTGAGGCTGGCGTCTTTGGGAGTGGTTGTCACTGGCTCCAGTAGTGAGTAGATTATGGGTAAGGTAGGTGGGCCAAGCCTCATCAGGCCATGGCAGCCAACCAAACAGCAAGACTGCAAAGTGGCTGAGGCTATGCTGAAAGGTAGCCTGGGCCTGGGGCAGTGGGAGTGGCAGCCCTGTTTCCCACACCCTGCCCCAGCCGGCTCCTCCACTCCAGGCTCCCAGTGCTGCCTATCAGGATGAGCTGGTTTGGGCTTGGCTAATGTCAGAGATGCTGTAGAAAGGAGGATGTGGGTGGGGATCTGTAGGACATCCCTTAGCAGAACCAGGCAACACAGAGTCTCTGAGCTCCCAGCACACCGTGGTCTTTCTAACCTCTTTCTACTGGCTGCATGCGCCAGGAGGTGTAGAACTCAGAGACAAATACAGGAGGAGGGGAGGACAGGCATTTAGACTGGCAGTGAGACCACAGGCGTGGGAGTTAATGTAGCACTGTGTGGATCTCAGCCCTCCCCGTTGATAGCTGTGTGCTCTCAGGTAACTTACTTGACCTCTCTGGATCTCATTTCCTCCTCTATAAAATGCTACTGTAGCCTGGAACCTGTGGCCTGTGCTTGTGCCTGGCCTAGCTACTCAGGAGGCTGAGATCTAAGGATCATGTTTTGAAGCCAGCCCAGGTAGGAAGCTTTTGAGTCACTTATCTCCAATAAACTTCCCACCCAAAATTCCAGAAGTAGAGCTCTGGCTCAAGTGGTAGAGTACTACAGGGACAATACTGTGACCCTGGGTTCAAGCCCCAGGACACACATACACACACACAGACACACACAAACACACACACACACACACACACACACGCAGCATGTTCCCTCTCAATACTGAATATTGAAAGAGCAAAGAGAAGACAAAAAAAAACTGGTTGTTCTGAAATAGAGAAAGCACTTAGCTCTTCTCTCATTGCTCCAGTCAAGTGGAAAAAAAGAATAAGGAAAGCAAGAGCTAGAAACCCTAATATTAAACTTGACCTCTGTGTGGCTCTGCCATTGGAAGCAGTTTCTGGACTCAGGTATGTCTGCATTTGGATTCTGCCTCTCCTACTTGCTCACCCTGTAGCCTTTAGCAAATTACTTCATCTTGTTAAGTATCGGTTTCCTCACCAGCTAAGCAGCACACCTCTCCATCGCATTGTCCTCTGTGACCTAGGAAAGCCTAGCATGTGGTCATGGCTTGTCTTCGTAGTGTTTCATTCTCTTTTCCCATTCAAGGATCCAGATCTGATCACACAAGAGGTTGAGACCAGTTCCCAGACCCATGATGCTCTCCATCCTCGTGTGATGGGCTAGGTGGTCTCAAATAGCTTCGGGATTGGCCTTCCAAGTCACAAAGTAGATTTTTCTTGAACTCAGGCCTGGACACTATCCCTGAGCTTCTTTTGCTCAAGGCTAGCATTCTGGCACTTGAATCATGGCACCACTTCTGGCTTTTTCTGTGTATGTGATACTGAAGAATTGAACCCAGGGCTTCATGCATGCTAGGCAAGCACTCTACCACTAAGCCACATTCTCAGCCCACAAAGTAGATTTTTTATGTGCCAATCTGGTGGCTCAAACTCAAGACCTGGGTGCTGTCCCTGAGCATTTTTTTCTCAAGGCTAACACTCTAACACTTGAGCCACAGTTCCACTTCGGGGGTGGGGGTAGTTAATTGGAGACAAGAGTCTCACAGGCTTTTCTGCCCCTGCTGGCTTCAAACCACGATCCTCAGATCTCAGACTCCTGAGTAGCTAGAATTATAGGCATGAACCACCAGCACCTGGCTAGATTCTTATTGTTCAACATGCAATGAGCCTTTTATTCCAGACACAGTCTGTGTGGATGCAATTCCAACTGAAGCTGGTCCATGGAGTAGCCACTTTGCAGTTTTGTTCAGAAGCAAATTAAATGCCAGATGACTTCCTGCTAACCCTCTTAGTCACATATAAAACAGGGCCGTCAAACTATGTTATTATTGGATCATTTAGGACAAGAGAACATTTTCTTTAACATTGTTGTGATTGAGACTCTGGACATTCCTAAACTGTACCCTACCCCACTACCATCAACACACACACACACACACACACACACACACACACACACACTCTGCAACCCCTCCCAAACAACATAGCCAATGCCAAAATAGCTGACTACAAGTAGATCATTTCCTACACGCATGCATGCCTTACAGCTTGGGCAAATAAATATTTTCCAACATAAGCCAAACCCCAGGAAACAACCCAGGTCCAGGCAGTGTGGATTCTCAGTGACTATTGGAATGATGCTAAGGACAGGTCACTAAAGTCAGGACTGGATACCTTGCTATTTCTACCTGTTTCCCTGCTCTGAGCTACCATCGAAGCCAGGACGGAGGAACACTACACACGGATAGGCCCCCCATCAGAGGAAGAAACCCCAAATAGGTCCTTCTGGGAAGAATATTGGAAATTTTCCAGAAGATTGAGGGAACTCTTACCCATGAAGAGACTACCATAGTAGTGGGATTAGTTTAGCACATCCCTCCCCCCCAAAAAAAACCTCTTATTGTGTCAGGTGCTGGTAGCTCACATCTGTAATCCTAACTACTCAGGAAGCAGACACATCAGGGTCACAGTTAGAAGTCAGCCTGGGCAGGAAAGTTCATGAGACTCTTATCCCCAATTAATCAGTAAAATGTTGGATGTGGGGCTGTGGCTCAAGTAGTAGAACACCAAGACTTGAGCAAAAAACCTAAGGGACCCAGGCTCTGAGTTTGAACCCCAGTATCAGCACACACACACAAAGGAATGTAAGAAAGGAAGGAAGGAAGGAAGGAAGGAAGAGAAGGAAGAGAAGGGAGGGAGGAAGGAAGGAAGAAAGAAAGAAAGAAAGAAAGAAAGAAAGAAAGAAAGAAAGGGGAAGGGAGGAAAGGAGGGAGAGAGGAAAAAAATAAAACAACTATCATTGTACATGAAATCCACAGCCTGTTGTTTTCAAGCTCTTCAGCTACTATTCTGACCGCTCAAGCTGATGTTAGTGTTCTCACTTCCCTAGAGTGAGCAATTGTACTTTAGACTGATTCAACCTTAAAGTGACCCCAATTCTAACTAATACACACCATCCATTTCCTTTTCCTGCTCTTCTCTTTTTGCATTGAGTACCTGTTTTTCTTCCTGTACCATTCACACATGGAAAAGACAAAAATTCCTGCCTGCAAGCCCACAGCCTGATGGAGAAACACTCAGATCCCCAGGCAATTTGCAAGAGTGGATCCTAAGAGACTGGGAGAAGTCTATCCAAAGTGTTTCTCTCAAAAAACAAGTCTTTAGCCAGGCAGGGTGGCACATGCATTTAATCCCAGCTACTCAGGAAGAGACAGGAAGATGTTGCGCTCCAAGCCATAGTGAGACTGTAACTCAAAAAGAGAGTGACTGAAGTCATGGCTCAAGAGGTACAGCACTGACCTAAAAAGGGGTGAAACCCTTGGTTCCAGCCCCAGTATGAAGTTAAAAAGGTAGTTTCTTCCCCTGACCCAAGTCTTCCCCCAACATATGGCTTCTGTTCATCCCTCATAATTATTGAATATGAATTAAATTCTTCATATCACCTTGTACATTACTGAACATAGCACCTGGGAAAGTCTTGACCTGCCAAATTCCTCTTCAAGCTGCAACCAGAGTGGGATTTACAACATATCACACAGCTATTCCCCCCTCTTCTACCCCCCCCCGTCTGTCTCTCTAAATTTTTCTCTATGCCAGTCCAGGGGCTTGAACTCAGGGCCTAAGTGCTGTCCTTGAGCTTTTTTGTCCTGTTCTTGAGCTTTTTTTCAGTAGGCTAGTATTCTGCCATTTAAACCACAGCTCTACTTCTGGATTTTTAGGTGCTTAATACACAAAATCTTTTTTTTTTTTTTTTGCTTGAAATCAGGGCCTAGGCACTGTCCGTGAGCCTCTCTGTGCTGAAGACTGGCACTCTACTACTTGAGCTACAACGCCGGCTTTTTCTGTGTATGTGGTACTGGGGAATGGAACCCAGGGCTTCATCTTGCTAGGCAAGCACTCTATCATTAAGCCACATTCCCAGCCCTCTGTGCTTAATTAGAATTAAGAGTCTCACTAACTCTCCTGCCTAGGCTAGCTTCAAACTGTAATCCTCAGATCTCTGCCTCCTGAGTTGCTAGGATTACAAGTGTGAGCTACCAGCACCCAGCTGCATGTCTACAATTTAAGCACTCAAAAGGCTGATGATGGTAGTAAGTTCAAGGCCAGCCTAGACTACATAGCAAGACTTTATTTTAAAGAGAAACAGAGAGAGAGAGAGAGAGAAACAGAGAGAGAGAGAGAGAGAAATGAAGTGAAATAAAATAAAAGGAGATAGAGAAAGAAAGAAGAATCCTTAATGGCCAAATGACCCCACACTTGCTCCAGAACGTACAATACCTAACTGAGTCCTGGGAATTTCTATTATTATGACTGGATCTCCACCCTCACAGGGAAAGACATAGACAAAAGTCTGTGGGGTACTAAATGTGTCTGGGCTGGGCACTTTGTCAGAATAGTGACACTGCCGCGACTGGGACACTTGAGCAGCTTGACTCTTGTCCTATGTTGTGTCATTTACTGTGTTTCAGGGTTTGCAGTTTTGTTCTGATTTTCCATCCAGGCAATAAATCTCTCAAATGTGTTAAATAGGCTGTGTATACATACATGTGGTGGCGGTGGTGGTCAGAGGTGGAACCTAGGGTCTCACACAAGCCAACACTCACTCTATCACTGAGCTTACACCTCCAAGTCCAAGAATGACTATTAAATGTCTGCAAAGTACGACTACTTAAGTTTTCTTCTTCCCCAGCCATTCTATGGTTCCACAGAAAGAATGGATTCTTCCTTCGTACAGGGCTTTAAGCAGCAGTGGAGTTAACCTGGTTGAAGAGGAAGGCAGAGGACCAGTCAGGCGCCACCTGGTGGTCAGAGTTGAGCTTGGCAGATTTTCAGAACAGGAGCAAAGAGACCTCTGCTCTTTTCATCTGTTTCTCTTCACTCTGTGAGGAGAGTCCCATAGGACACCAACCTGCAAGTGTGCCACCCTGTCAGAACTGGGTAATGAACGACAACGGACCAGGAGGAAAAAGTATGCTGGAGGAAAGCCCAGGCAAGCTCACTCATAGCAGCCAGTCATGAGGTGTCCAGGCATGGCCTGGGCTTGAAGTGAAGGAAGAGAGGGGAAACTCACAAGTATTCCGCCATTCTGTAGGCTGGATGTCTGAGCGAGGTTTGCCCACTCTTGAGAGACAGTGTGGCCAGAAGAAGGGACTCCACATTTCCTCAGAACTTTCTGCGATGACCCACCGGGATCAGGTTGACTGATATCATGGATCTGCACCAGACTTGACTGGTTTTATTATCGATTGGTTTTGTGATTACCAGTGTGAAGCTATATTGACAGATACTAAGAAAATGTACCTCTTCTGTTAAAACCTGTTCTTCAAATATACTCATGAAGGGCTGGAGGCATGACCCGAATGAGTGTAAATCTCCGTACCCCCAGAAAAAGTGACATGCCTAACACAGCCCTTGGAGGCCTGTCCCCTGGACTGAGCATAGAGTTTATAGACAAGTAGGCCAGGATTGTAATAAAGGATTGGGGAAGCTGTAAAGTTGGATTCAGAGGCAGAACCCTGGAAACCAGTTCCTATCCTTGTTTTAGACATTCCAGTTTACTATTAAGAAGTCTCATAGATAGACAGAAGCATGTGGAGAAGCCACTTAGAGACAAAGCCAAGCTTTCTGCTAGTCCTGTTCTGGTTCCTGTGTGTGTGTGTGTGTGTGTGTGTGTGTGTGTGTGCACTCTAGTCATAGGGTTTGATCTCTGGGCCTGGGTGCTGTCCTTGAGCTTTTTTGCTCAAGTGTAGCCCTCTACTACTTTTAGCCACAGTGCCATGTCCAGCTTTTGGGTAGTTAATTGGAAATAAGAGTTTCACGGGGCTGGGAAAGGTGGCTCAGTGGTAGAGCACTTGCCTTGCATGCATGAGGCCCTGGGTTCAATTCCTCAGCACCACATAAGCAAAAAGAAAAAAAGCCGGAAGTGGCGCTATGGCTCAAGTGGTAGAGTGATAGCCTTGAGCTGAATTGCTGAGGGACAGCGCCCAGGCCCAGAGTTCAGGCCCCATGACTGGACCCCAAAAAAAAACAAAACAAAAACAAAAAAAAAGAGTTTCACAGACTTTCCTGCCCTAATCTTCAAACCAAGATCCTCAGAATTTAGCCTCCTGAGTAGCTTAGAAGTGTGAACCACCAGCACCTGGCCAGTTCTGAATCTTAAGTAGCAAAGTCCAGGAATGAAGATGTAATAGACTTGATGACTTCCAAGTTTGTATGTTTTTATAATAGCGAGTTTTTGAATGAAGAAATCCCTCTTTTTCATTTTGAACTGATTTTAAATCTACCCCCTCTTAAACTTTTCCTATTTCTTTTTAGATTCCGCCTCTCTTTGCCAGAGTCCAATCGCAGTGATATTAAGGTAGGAATCAGGAGTTCTGGGGTCCCCTGGCTTGGCCTGAATGAGAACTGGCCTTCATGGCAGCGTGGGCACATCAGTTCTATCTCTGGTTCCTTGATTTCTCCCTGGCTCTAGGTTTTCACATTGAAATTCTTCCTGTAGCTACTCATCTATGGAGTCCATAAACTCTCAAGTGTCTTTTATTTATACAATAAGGCTTTTAAAAAAGAACTCAAAAGACACTAGGACATTATGTGGCACTGGAAAAATAGGCATTCTTAACCAAATAATCATTTGATTATTCTAGATCCAATAATCATCTAGAGTTCAACTTAAGAGACACACTCTCAAAGGGTTGTCCTTCAAATGCTTCCTGGCCATCTTCTGAAATTAGATCTATATGGATACTTTTATGGAGTGTGTGGAGGGGGACTAGCCTGTCAAGCTGTTACTTGGGAGTGAGAACCCCCAAGACTTTTCCAGAAGCAACAGTCAAATCACTATTTGTTGTTTTTTTTATTTAATTTTATTGTCAAGGCACTGTTATTTTTTTCACATGTGATCCTATCAGAGAGAAGCTTAATGTGTAGATTTTAGCGCCAGGGTCGTAAATGGAACTGGGTCTAGTTCACGCTCAGCTATGTAAATGTCTGAGGGGGTGGTTGGTTTTGTTTGAACTCAGGGCCTGGGTGTTGTCCCTGAGCTTTTGTACTCAAGGCTAGTGCTCTACCATTTGAGCCACAGCTCTACTTCTACAGCTTCTATTTTCCTCAGACTTTCCAGCTAATCCTCAGATCTCAGCTTCCTGAATAGCGAGGATTACAGGTGCGAGCTACTGGCGCCCAGCTGTAAATATTAGTTTTGAGTGTTATTCATTCAGTGATGGGCACTTATTGATCCTGGTCCTGTTCTAGAAAGAAAATACCTGTGCTTATGGCACATATAGTCTGGGGCACTGGTTCTCAACGAGGGTTCTCTCAGGGACCTCTGGCAACATCTGAAGATATCACTACCTGGGGTGGGAAGAGGGATAGTACAAGATCAGGGGTGCTGTCAACACATCCTACGGTACACAAGTGGCCCCCCTCCCCCACAAAAAATTATCTAAGCCAAAATGTCAATAGTGCCACAATTTGGAAACCTGTCCTAGAATGTGTGAGTATGCACAGATGAGTATCAGAATACAAAAGTATAATGAATATACTGAAAAACACCATAGAGAAAAACCAGTGTGCGCAGGCACGGAGCTAGAGATTAGAATTTCTGGGTTGTTGGAAGGATTCATAAAATGATGCAGAGACAGAATTGACTTAGCATCTTAATTGCTTTCCTAACTGTAATATTATTTCAGTGAATCGTATAATAACACACTTGTCTCATATGTAAACTCTGGGTCCAAACATTAGGAGTGAGTCCTACTTCCTGGCTGTTAGGTTTGAGGCAAGTCATTTAATACTCACAGAGACGTTCGTGGGAGATAGTAGGTACTGAATGAATCATGCAATGCTCAGCCAGACCTGGGAATAGCAGGATTACATGCAGGGAAGAAATTAGCCAAGAACTCAGAGTTTAGCAAGAAGGAACTAGGTAGTTGTTTGCTTGCTTGTTTATTTACTTTTAGAGGAGAGCCCTGATTTTTAGTTTGGGAAGATTAAGAGTCAGGAGCAATACTGTCCATAAGCTGGAAACTAAGTTGTATCTTTCATACTGTACACGGAGGTCTCAAGTATCAATACTGATGCCAGGCATGGTGGTGCATGCCTGTAACCCCAGTAAACTGCTTAGTATCAGCCACACAATATGCTAACACAGCATGGGGGGAGATGGAAATGGTTTATAACTGGAATTTTACGTAATATTACTTTGTCTAATTTTAAAAACCATCTTATGAGAAGATGATGATGATGATGACTCTATTCATTTATATCTTGCTACTGTTATCTTCATTTTACAGTTGAGGAAACTGAAGCACAGAGAAGTTAAATAACTTTTCCAACACCACATACTAAGTGGTAAAAACAAGATGTACCTAGACAGTCTGACTTCAAAGCCATACTTCCTAAACTGCAAAGAAGTTCATGTTGCTAAGCATAAAGGATGACCAGAAAGTATTCACTGAGGGCTAGAGGCATAGTTTAAGGGGTAGAGCATCTGCTTAGCAAGCACAAAACCTTGAGTTCGAATCCCAGTGTCACCAAAAACATTTTTTTAAGTTAGTAGGGGCTAGGAATGTGGCTCAGTGGTAGAGTACTTGCCTAGCATGCATGAAGCCCCAGGTATGATTCCTCAGTACCACATACACAGAAAATGCCAGAAGTGGTGCTGTGGCTCAAGTGGTAAAATGCTAGCCTTAAGCTGAAGAGTTCAGTTCAGGGACAGTGCCCAGGCCCAAAGTTCAAGCCCTAGGACTGACCAAAAAAAAAAAAAAGTTAATAGTCACTGAATACTGAACATTGGCTTGCTTAGGCTATCCAACTACCATTGTTTATTGAAGATAAATTGGGGTCAAGAACTGGCGACTCACACCTGTAATCCTAGCTACTCAGGAGGCTGAGATCTCAGGATCATGGTTCGAAGCTGGGGCAGGGAAGTCTGTGAGAATCTTTATCTCCAATTAACCAGCAAAATGTGGGAGGTGGAGCTGTGGCTCAACTGGCAGGGTGCCAGCCTTAAGCAAAAAAGCTCAGGGAGAACATGAAGCCCTGAGTTCAAGCTCCAGAACTGAACCAAAACTTTGAAAATAAATAAAATGATCTGCCAACGCAGTTCACTTAAGAATGTAATGTAATGCAAAGGAACTCCTGGGGTTGAGGGGCCCAGTAAATAAGGGAAGGCTGTGAATGGGCAAATCCATCAATGCTCTGTTGTCTTGCCTGGCAGATAGCTAAGCTACTCCATTTATAGCCACCATGTCACCATGTGGTCCCTGTGCTCTTGCTGCCAGTCACCTAAATACAGTACAAAGCAAAGTTAAAGTGCCCGTGGGCAAGGGGGAAATGGCAAATTTGGTTTCCTGAACTCTTCTGGGGAAACTCCAGTTCCTGCTTTCTCCATCCAGGTAAGTTCATGCCACATCAGGTAGGCATGCTGCTTTCAGATTGCCTTGATTCAACAACTGAACCCTTCCTCTTTCTTTTCAGGTCTTGAGGTTCGAGAATATTCTGTCCTCCATCCTTCACTTTGGAGTCCTCCCGCTGGCCAACAGTAAGGGATCCTTAGGGAACCATAGGACTCCCCACGTTAGCTAGACATGGGAATTGTTTGAGATGCCCCCACTCCACGTATCCACATAAGTCTCTTCCTAGAGTGTTCTTCTGCAATCAGGCCAGAGCCAGAAATGTACAGTGTGTCCTGTCAATGATAGGTTTGCAAACTTAGTGATTCTGGATAGAAGTGTTGTGAGCAATGCTGTTTGTGAAGTTGGTTAAAACAACTCATGATGACTGCTTTAGGAGATGCAGATATTTTCCTTCAACAGAGGAGTCTCAAAGTCACCCAGACATGAGATGCCTCCTCCCAGCAAGGACCTTGCTAGCTTGTATGCAAGGACAATGGTCCATACCTCAGTTTACTGAATGATAACCCTCAGTCTCTCCCTGTATCATAGTTATTCTCAAACTACAGCATCTGGCTGAGTGCCTGTATTCTGTCTACTCAAGAGGCAGAGATCTGAGGATTACAGTTTAAAGCCAGTCCAGGCAAGAAAGCCTTTGAGACTCTTATCTCCAATAAACTACCCAAAAAGGCCAGAAGTGGAGCTGTAGCTCCAGTGGTAGAGTGCTAGCCTTGAGCAAAAGAAGCTCAGAAACAGTACCCAAGCTCTGAGTTCAAGTGCCAGGACTGGTAAAAGACAAAAACAAAATAAAACACACTTTTTTAAATTATTATTTCATGTTTTATTTTATGTATAAAATAAGTAATATAATCAGATTCCTAAAGAGAGCATATTAGTATCAATTTTTAACAAAATCTTCAGGTTAGGTATCCAAAACAGACAACACAAATTCATTTAGTTCTGTTCTCACAACTTTAAAATTAGCCAGATGAAATCTACACAAAGTTGCATAGGCTAGGAGCTGGTGGCTCACACCTGTAATCCTCTCTACTCAGGAGGTTTAGATATGAGGATTGCCAGCTGGAGCAGTCAAGTCTGAGACACTCTTATTTCCATTTCACCAGCAAAAAGGCCAGGATTGGAGGCATGGCTCAAGTACAGCATCAGTCCTGAGTGGAAAAAGCCAAGCAAGCCTGAACTCAAACCCAGTACCAGCACACACATATTCTTCAGAACAGACACCAAAATGTTAGCAAACAGCAAAATGGACAGGAGTTTTCTGATATCCAAATGCATATAATTGCAAATACTCTTTTACTAAATGCAGACGAATTAATAACTTGTTTAGAAAAAATTCTCTGACATTTTCATGTCAGAGAATGCAAATAGAACCAAGAGGAATAAAAAGGATAAATGACTGAAAAGATGTTTTCTTTTCTAGAGTCTCTAAATATTTGTGCACATGCCCAATTTTCTTACGTCTTTTTCTATATTTTAGCAAGACTACAGCAAGGTTTTCCTCTTCCCAACCCTTACAATATCTCGTTCATCAATTCAGATATTGAAGTTCTCGAGGTAAGATTTTTAAGTTTCCTTATAACTGGCTCATTTCTTTTTGTAAGACTTTTTCTTTGTCTTTCTTTTTTTGTCAGTCATGGGCCTGAACTCTGGGCCTGGGTGCTGTCCCTCAGTTCTTCAGCTCAAGGCTAGTGTTCAACCACTTGAGCCACAAGGCCACTTCTGGCTTTTTCTGTTTGTGTGGTGCTGAGGAATCGAACCCAGGGCCTCATGCATGCAAGGCAAGCACTCTACCACTGAGCCACCTTCCCAGTCCTTTCTTTCCCCAGCCCAGGGAATTTTATAAACAAATTATGTATAGCTCTCAAAGATTACATTTAACAATGAAAAGAGGAAAAGTCAGGCCAAGTCTAATTTCATTTAGCAGCCAAATTGTTCCTTTCCACTGTACAAGAAAATAATCTTTTTTTTAAAGAAAATCTAGATTTATTTGTTAAGCTATTACAAAAACAAAACAATTATCATGGAAGGACTCTGAGGACTTCATCACAGTTCTTTTGATCTGTTATAGAACCTAAGAGAGTGGAAATTCAAGGCTATAACTTAAGAGACAGAGAAGATGGTAAAGCAGGGCAGAAGCTACCCACTGCATCAGTGGTGGGATTCAGTTGGGGTTTTCCAGAGTTGCCAGCAAAGCCTGAATTCATTCATCTGGGCTCGAAATTATAAAGACTAGTGTCCATGTGGAACACAACAGAGGCTAGTTCCTCTGTGATCTTGGCTTTGTCTCTTAAGGGAAAAGGTTTCCTTACATCCCAAAGGCTTTTCAGCTTCAGACTCTCTCTTGCAAACCCCACCCTAGTCAACCCACACCCCAAGCTCCTGTGTGTTTCTCTGACCTGCTAGTGGTCAGAGAAGTGCATCAAAGGCAGGAAGGAGTGGCCTACTTAGACAACACCAAACACAGAAGGACAAGCGATAAACTACAAACACCCCCTTGGTTAAGTTAACTCACCTTTGTTAATAAAGGTCATAGTTTCTTCTGCTGGTGACAACCTGCTGCCTCACTATAGTTGTCTTAAGAAAGAACTGGTTCAAGTGAGTTTTGAAGGAAAAAAAGCCTTTCATCAGCCCCATTCCACAGTGGAAGAGGCACCAACTTTCTTCCTACAGTCCCAAGCAGAATCTTAAAGCAAATTAAAGCCCTTTCAGTGATCAACATCTGCATCCTCAAATTGTCCAGCAACTGTTGGTATAGTATCCACCTCCATGCCATCTTCATAGTCTCTTATTGAATCTTCTGTCTGGACTCCAGCCATGTTATACTGACTACTCAGACTGAGAGAGCTTTCCTTCTAATCTCTCCAATGTGGCTTGCCCTTCTGCTGTTAAATGGGATCATCCTTCTTCATAGTTACAAAACGTAGGGATATCCCCCTGTACTTGTTCATGTGCTTCCACATCATATTCTTCTCCATTATAATCATCTGAATCCTCAGCATCTGGATGCAGGGCCTGACGTTCACACATTGCAGTGAACATTGCCTCCAATGCTGATTTATCACTAGGCACAAATCTAAATTCAGCAATAGGTTCCACATCATCATCACTGTTATCTTCTTCATCAGAAAGAGGTTCTCTTGATTCTTCTTCAAATTTGGCATTCACCATAACATACAAATGTTCTCAAGGATAGGCATTTAGATCCCTGGAGACTGCATGTAAGCTAATGGTGGGGTATTCCAGTGAGAATCCTAATCCAGAAACATCTAACCAAAACAGGTGGCTCTCAGAGATATAGGGGTACCGGTGCCGAGCCCCTTCTCGTTCAGCACAGCCTCGGTGTCCGGCTATTGCCGCCAGAGCTCCTCCACCGGCTCTGGTGGCGAGAAACTTTTTCAAGAAAATAATCTTTAATGTGCTTTATTTGTTCCACAAGACAAGCCCATAAGGGTGGAATTTTGAATCCCATTTTATAGATGAGGGAAATAAGACACTGAGGGGTGAAGTGGCTTAAGTAACTGACAAAGCAACCAGCTGGGATCAGGCTGGCTCTGTTTGTTGAGTTCTCTGTCAGGGGCCTTTCCCCCACAAAAAACTGACTCTCTGGGCTGGGAAGGTAGCTCAGCGGTAGAGTGCATCCCTTGCAAGCATGAGGCCCTGGGTTCAATTCCTCAGCACCACATAAGCAGAAAAAGCTGGAAGTGGCGCTGTGGCTCCAGTGGTAGAGCGCTAGCCTTGAGCTGAAGAGCTGAGGGACAGCGCCCAGACCCAGAGTTCAGGCCTCATGACCAGCAAAAAAAAAAAAAAATCTGACTCTCCTCTAGAATCAGGGATCCACTGAAAACTGTATCCTAGCTAATCATTGTTAACACACTTAATAATGCCTTTCCCTTCTTCTCTTTCGGCATTGTTTTGTCTGAGGAGATATAAATAAGTTTCAAAAAGCATTTCTCATCAAGCCCTGGTGGCTCTCATCTGTAATCCTAGATACTCAAGAGGCTGAGATTTGAAATCCCAGTTTGAAGCTAGCCTGAGCAGGAAATTCTATGAGACTTGTATCCCCAATTAACCAGCAAAAAACTGGATGTGAAGTTTTGTCTCAAGTGGTCGAGAGCCCACCTTGATTGAAAAAGTTAAGGGACAGTAGCCAGGCCCTAAGTTCAAGCTCTAGTACTAGCACAAAGAAAAAAACCATCTTCCATCTATATGAAACGCCTTACTTCCTCTCATACCCCTGCCTCTTTGTACTTGGGCCCCCAATGACTAAATCACACCTGGTGATATAATTCAAAATGGTCTCTTCCTACAGCTAGGCTCTCACAAGCAGGGGAGGGGGGTGTTGGGGAAAGCTTGCTGCTTTAGGGTTTGATGAAGAAGAACCCCCCCCTCCCTCAGTCCTCAGGCAAACCCAGACATGCTCCTCATTGAATGTTATCTCTCCTCATCATTGAATCTTTTGCAGGATTTCCTTTTGATTTCCACCGACCTGAGACATGAAACATTCTCAAAGCAACAGCCAAGTTTCCATAACTGGGGAGGTCTGAACCTCATAAATGGACCCTGGAGGGAGACGCCAACCCCTTGATTGCCTGCTCACAAATAAACAGATTGTGGAGAGAGAGGGAGAGGCTCAGGCCCTGGATTGCCAGTTTTTAATCCATCTCAGGGAGTAAATAAATGGTCCTTCATCCCACAGCAGTGACTATGGGAAGAAGACTGTGCACACTGGAATCTTTAAGCCCTAGTGAATTGCTTAGGCAAGAAGCTTTCTTTCAATGATTGTAAGAGGCCTAGAGTGAGGCAGACCACGGGGTTAAAGGGCTGAATAGGGGAATAGGTAGAAAATGGAGTGAATGTGAAGGGGAGAGGGGAGGGCAGGGAGTATGCATATCTTGAATGCCTGTGTTTTTCAGATTCTGGGATACAAGGAAGGTGTGTATTTCTGACCAGGGGAGTAAGAAACTTTTTAAGTCTCTCTTTGTGTGGGTCATTTTCTGTAGTGAGAGCTCTTCAACTCTCTAAGGGGATTTCCCCTGCCTGTGTATTGGATTGTATGTTTTATATTCACTGTTACTGTCCCACGTTTCATTAAAATTGTTTTCTATCAATGGCAGTCATTTTTTCCAGAGATTTCCTGTCCTGAATTGATCTTAACAAAATAGGATAAAGAAAAGAGAATTTTACCTCTTTAACCTTTATGAACAGGAAGGTGGTACTGATATCAAGGATTGATCTAAAAGGGAAATTCCCGGCCTTAGAGGCGTGGCTCAAGTGGTAAAGTGCCAGCCAAGAAAGCTTGAGGCCCTGAGTTTAAACCCTGCTACTGGCAAATATAAACAAACAAACAAAATTAATTAAAAGAGAATCCCAGGACTCTTCAATCTTTCCTGCAGTGCTGGGGGTTATGACTCAGGGGATACAGCATCTGAGCACCAAACTCTGGATTCAATCCCCCTAATACCATGAGAGAGACAGAGCAGAGTGTGCTTTCCTGCAGCCACACTGTATCATTTGTTTAGGTTTTAGGATATGTTTCCCAGTGGATTCAATGAATTAGCAATGCAGGGTTCTAAACCTAGGCCATTTGTAGTTGAGAATCATATTGATATCAATTAATATTAAACAATGGTGTGAAAGTGGGGCAGAGTAGGAAAACTTGTGTTGATGTATAGGGAATGAAGAGAAATCATCCCCTGAGCTCTTCTATTTCCAGGCTAGTGGAATTTACAGTGTGCTTACCCTGGGCCAAACCTTAGGCTAGTTACTCCTCCGCAGTCACTGTATTTCACCTCCACAGCTCTGTGAAGAATGAGCCCATTTCACAGATGACACAGAGGTTATGAGGGACTCATTATACAGAACTAGTAAATGGGGCTGGCATAGACTGAATCCAAGCATTTCTGATTGGTAGGTAACTGAAACAAGCATAAAGTATGCATTAGAATCATCTTTGTAGTTCACTTCTGGCCATAATAGGTGCCCCCCTCCAAGTATTTCTAGGAATAAATAATATTATTGTGTTTTATTATTCTTTGGGACATTTTTCTAACAGAAGAGTCACTTGATATATATTTACTGAATCATTCTGAAACATTTCATGTGTGGTAATGATTTTAAAAAATATTTTTCAGCTGCAAGTATATAGTTTTCCCTTCACTGCTGGGAATGTAAACTCCAAATTGTGTATTCTCTAGAGTGGTTGGACTTGACCCAGATTCCAGGTGTTTTCTTGAGCTGATCAAAAACATTTCCAAAAAGAAAACTAATAGATGGTTAAAAACAAAACAAAACAAAACAAAAAAAAACACCCTACTGAAGCATTGGGGGCACACCTGTAATCCAACACTGGAGAGATGGAGGCAGGAAGGTGGAAAGTTTGAGATTAGACTGAGCTTCACAGTGAGACTCTGTCTTGGAAATAATAAAATTCCTGCGTGGCACCTGGCAATGTGTAATCCTAGCTACCCAAGTGCTTGAGATCTGAGGATCAAGGTTCAAGTCCAGCCCAGGCAGGAAAGTCTTTAAGACTCTTAGCTCTAACTGACTACTAAAAAGTTGGAGGTGGAGCTGTGGCTCAAATGGTAAAGCACTAGTCTTGAGAGGAGAAGGAGAAAAAAAGGCTTAGGGACAGAGCCCAGATTCTGAATTGATGCCCCAGGGCCATCACTAAATGGTAAATAATAATAAGCTCCACACCGTCGTACAAAACAACACGACGTGACTACAGGATTTAGCCTAGCAGAAATAAACGAACGAAGAGCCAGGGAAAGCGAACGCTAGAGGACAGTCTAACCAGAGAAAAGCGATCGTCTGACGCGGGGCCTCTTGAGCCTCGGCGGTCGCCGTAGCGCGTCCTGCCAGGGTGCGCGCTGCGCCTGCGTCTGAGGGCTCCACGCGTCCGAGCCGGCTGCAGCTTTCTCCTCGTAGCGTCCCAGCGGTTCCCGCCACGCTTATCGCCAGCCATGAGTCGCAGCTACAACGATGAGCTGCAGTTCCTGGACAAGATTAATAAAAACTGCTGGAGGATCAAGAAGGGCTTCGTGCCCAACATGCAGGTGAGGATGGGGGAAGCGGACGACTGGCGGAGGGGCCTCGCGGCGCGGGGCGGGG